TGAGAAAGTAACTCAGTCAGAAGTCAGAAATCCACCGGCACATTGATCAAAACATGACACGCACCAAAGGGATCAGATCTGCCTGAAACACACTCTCATTCTGCCTGCAGACTGTGTATCAGATGGCAAAGACAAATAACCTGACACTGCAGCTTAATAACACTGCTGGCTCTTCCAGCTGCTTTCTCATTCGGTTTTGTTTGATTATTTCTTAACTTTAAGAAGGTCAGCTCTGGAGGCAACTCCCCCCTAATCTGAAACCTCTGCAAAAGCTGCCTGTACAAGCCCCAGAGACCTGCAGAGCCCCGAGGAGGTAACCCTGCTTCTTATCAGGTGCACATTCTGGTTTGGCTGTTGCCTTTTGGTTGGGCTGGCCCTACAGACAGTGAGGCTGCATTCAGGGACAGCAGAGAGCCAGAACCTCCTGTGGCTGCAGCTCCAGTTCTGAAATACAGCAGTGAAGAAAATGGGACAAATATATTTACCCCTTAAACCTTCAGACCATCTTGATTATTTGTGGGATTTCTTGCCAAATTATCCCCTGTAGTGCCTGCTCTCACAGGCTCACCCCCTGGCTCCTGGCAGTGCAGTCTAACACCTGACCTGTGCTTGCTGAGCTGTCCAAATGTGCTTTGCACATCACTTCCATTAAATTAACACCTGCAGAACATCTGGACTGACAGATATTCTCACAGGACTATGATCCTGAGCCAGAGGATATTTTAGAAGTGAGTTGTTATGGTGCTTAAGTTGTGGAGCACAAGCAGAAATGCCAGACTGTCTATGCCAGTCCCTGCAGAGGACCCAGAGAGAAGGTCTAACCCAGGTGACATCCTAAGCAAGGACAGGAGAACAGCTGCCAAACCAGTGAGATGGCAGAAAACACAGAATGCTGTGTCTCTTAAGAGCAGAGCATGCCCCATCCTTTTGGATGGAGTTGTCAGTCCACAGGAATATTGAGTCATTTAACAGGATACCTCAGGGATAAGGCAAGTATGAACAGTCCTGCTCACTCCCACACACTGTGCCCCCAACACCTGTAACCTCTGCACAGCTGTACAGAGAGAAGATCCATGCACCTTTTCTTCCCAGGGGCACTTCTCAAGCATACATAACCTAGACATGTTCCATCCCAAAATCATCTGCCCACAGTAAAGGTGCTACAAAAAAATATTATATAAAAAAATCACTTTTATGTATCAAAGTACTTCACTTGACCTCTTTTTTTAATGTTTGGTATGAATTTCTATAAATCAATTCTATCTCTTGATTTTTGGAACATGTACTTACACACAAGAAGCTTAGAATCCAATTTTAATGTGTCTATGTTTCAAAATGTTTTACTATACAGACACCTATGGTTTATTCTAACACTTAAGAGAAGAAAAAAATCTGGGTGCAAAGTCCAGACTCATGGACTGAGTCAGAAATCCAGATCTTCTGGCATTCCAGAGTTGCCTGGTATGCTAGGCAGAATAAGTCTCTGCTACCAGAATATGGGGAAAGGTAGGACTGATTATGCCTGCATCTGTAACATTTTACCAGGAAGAAACCTGGTCTGAGTTACAGTTTTGCTTTCAGTCTTTAACAAAGTACAATAGGTGGTTTGCATTTGGGGGAGGGGGGCAGGGAGGGAAAAACACAACTGAAAACCAAAGTGTACACTCAGACCAAACAATCAAGAATAAATTCTACCTAGCTGCTCCTTAAAGAAATAACAATAATAATTATAATAGTAATAATAATAATAATAGCCTAGAAACCTAGTACCTTTTGGAGTGCAAAATAATGACTGAATAGATGGCGTAGCCTGACAGCAAGCAATCAGAAATTAGACCGAAGGATCTTCTTACATAGCTCTGAAAATCCAGATGTGTCTAAGGAAAACAGACTCAACATTTCATTATTCAAGCACAAACAATGCAGTAATAAAAACTGAATGCCCAGAGTGCTATCAAGAGGGTGTTTTATGGACTATAAGCCACCCACTTTGTGGGCTATTCAGGAAAATGCTTTAAAATTAGAATTTCAACTCTCGCTTCTTAAAGACCCCATTAACATGTTTCTCACACAGACTGTTTTATTGTGTCTCTGAGGAATTAGGAAAGCGCAGAACTGCAGCCAAGGAGGCACCTGAAGGAGGGGAGCTGCTTGACTCTGCAAGAAGCCAGCTCAAGGAGTGTGGACAGAACAGGTCTCTCCCAGCCTGGCCATTCCTAATGCTTGTGGCTCAGAGAAGGATGAAGAACTGGAGTCTTTCTCAGCTCAGCTTACACAAGCTCCAGGAGAACTTGCAGCCCTGTCCCTGGATGACTGTATTTCAATGCCTACATGTGAAAGATTTAGTAGTTTTATTAAAAGGGTCGAGAACAGAGCGAGGGCTTGAAAAGACATAGCAAGATTCCAGTGAGTTGGAGTCCTCTACAGATGAGAAGCTGAGTAACCTGTGGGTGATTCACCCTTGAGAGACATTGAGTATACTTGCTGCTTGTTAGGCAGTGAGTAAGGAAGCTTTCCACCACCTCGCTGGGGTAGTGGTGTGTTTAGCTGGAGTAACGAAGTTGCTTTGACACACGTAACTGATGAAGCTGTTGAGGAAGGCAAGCTGTTTTGACTCTGCATGTCTGGTAGTTCTTGGCAAGGTTGGGTAAAAACAGCATTCTTGTCAATTAAGCATGACACAAAAGTAAATCAAATTGCTCAGAGCCAGGATAACGTGGTGTGTGAGCTGCTGGTGGAATCAAGGTAGTCCAGGTGGGTAGGTGCACACACGAGCTGGCTGGAAGGGTCAAAAATGGACCTTGAAAGAATGGCTTTGGAACTGCTCACCCAGGTGATGTCTTGCTGTCCTGCCATTTGGTTTCTCCCGTGCTGGGACCACGAGCCAGACAGCTTTGTGCACCTTTGACTAAGAGCACAGCGTCGTATTTTAGTGGGACAACTAGTGAATTCATTGGGTTTTTTTGCTTTTGCTGAAAGGAACTGCCAAAAATAACTGAATACAACTGTGTGGTGGAAGAAATCCTGCTGCAGCTGAGCTCACCACGGGCTTTGCCTCTACGAGCTGTAGCAGCTTGAAGAGGCACATGAAGAGAAGCGCTGAGGTGGGGGCAGCAGCTCCTCTTCATGTGCAGGAGCTGTACATGTAGCTGGTGAAAGCCATGCCCGATGGAGCGCAGCAGCCTCGGGATGCTGGTACTCCTGCCAGGCTGTGCAGATGGGCACCCGCAGCACAGCAGCTCTGCCACGGCCTTCACTGTGCCCACAGGCACATCTCAGCCTCACTTCCAGCCACCTTCTGCTGCATCTCCTCACTCAGAGCAAAGCTTTGCTCTACGGCTCTCTGAACTCACACCAAGTGCTGTAAGAAATCCAGGAGTAAGCACTGGCAGGTAGCATTCCAAGAGAAAGTACGACTTGGGGAACACTTGTCAGAATCCAGGCTTTGCTGCACATCAAAAAAAAAACAGTCTTCAGCCTCCACCTCACATGTGAGATGTGACATTACTTACTCTAAGGAGAGAGCACTGCCCTCGGTTGGTGCTACAGGAATATGAGACACACAACTCTTGGTTCTGCCATTTACACCTGTCAAGACCAGGCAGAACTCCCTGCTGAGTCCTTCAGTCCCTCTGCCCAGCTATGGCAGACTACAGAAGGGGCAATGTGGTGGAGATGGAAGCAAATGCAAAGTAAGAGGAAACATTTTACATTTCAATAACCTCAGAGAAGCCAGAGTTGGCAGGGAAGCAGTGTGTTTACACATCACCCGAAGATTTCTGTTTCCCACGGCAGGTGTAATGAAAGAATGGGTTTGTTAAAACATTGGCTTTTTTTGTTAATTCATTCTGATCAGTCAAAAAGATCTCTTTTAAAGAAACGTTCCTGTGATGAAGAAATCTTAATGCTTCATTAAAATAGTGTTTTTATGACCGGGCTACCAAATGTAATTGCAAAGCAGAAGTTAACTGGATTTTTCAATGCAAAAAGTAACAATACCTGACAACACTGCCGTACTCACATCATGACTCCATTATACAGATTAGTCATTATTGATAAAACATTTTCCATACCTAATGAATGTAAATGCAACAATGAGCTGCGAGTTTCTTCTTTTACAACAAAGGGAAAACACGATGCTTATGCTCAGAAGACACCCGGCTTCCAACAAAACTTAGAAACTGGCAGAGTTAAGACCGCTAAGATCTCGTGCTCAGGGACAGAGTTTCTCAGGCAATAGTCCAAGAGTAGTAGATAGCCACAGAGTTAAAAGGAAAAATCCTCCCACCAAAACTCATCATTTGCTTTACAAAGTGCCGCTCTTCCTAAACACCTATGGGACACGAAAAACTGCAGCGATACACTGAGAACATTGTATCGTGCTAACAGCTGGAAGACAGGACATCGTGTGCCTCTCGTCTTTAAACACATACACATCCTTAACTTTGCCAGCGCTTAAAGCCGGTACCAAGTTGAGCGGCCAGGCTCGGCGAAAGCCTGCCTCTCGCTCAGCATCCCCATCAGCCCTCTACTGCCGGCCCCCGCGCCGCCTCTCCCGGTGCATTCGAGCCGTTCGCCCGGCGGGCGCATCCCGGGGCAGGCAGCGCTAGGTGGGCAGCGGCCAGCCCCGCTCGCTCCTGCGGGCCGGCAGAACGAAGAAGCCCAGCCGCCGGCAGCAGAAGTTTGCTGGGGAGGGACGAGGCTCCCGCAGCCACGACGGCCGGCGCTCCTGCGAACGCGCGGGAGCCGGAGCGCTGCGGGGCGGGAGCGGCGCCGGTCCCCGGCTCCGAGCAGTAGGGTGGGGGCGATGGGACCGCGACCCTGGGGACGGGAGGTCAGCGGGGACAGAGGGACCCGGACGCGCCGCGAAGCCCCGGTTGCCACAGCAACGCGGCGGCGCCTCTCTCCCCAAACTTTGGTCGCTATAACGACGGGGCCGGGGCAGCGGCATCCCCCGGACGGGCGGGTCTGCTCCGCGGGGCCGTCGGGCCGGCGCTCACCTATGGTGGAGACGACGGTGCCCACGAAGTAGAAGGCGCCGGGGAAGTCCCAGCGGGGCCGCAGGGCGTCGACGCGGATGCCCGCGGCCATGGCCGCCTCGTAGCTCCGCAGGAAGGCGCGCAGCTCCGGCAGGCTGATGTTGAAGATGCGGCTGAAGTTGTGGAGGGTCCGGTTCCAGCGGAGCTGCGCCGCCGCCTCCGACGGGCTCTCGAGGACCGAGAAGACGGTGGCGCCGGCGCTCAGGTACGCCGCGATGAGGGCGGCCAGCAGCAGGAACCGCCCGTTGTCCTCGTTGAGGGGCGCCAGGCGCCGCCGGCGGCAGGAGCCCACCGCCCCCCGCGGGGGCATCATCCGGTGCGCGGCGCGGCGGGCGCGGCGGGCGGCGGGCGGCCCCCGGCGGGGGGCGCGGGCATGGGGCGGCGCTGCGCGGAGCCCGGCGCGGCGGCGGCTTCGCTGCAGGGGCCGCGGCTCTGAGTCATCCCCCGGCGGGGCCGCCCGCCCGGCTGGCGGCGGCGCCCCGGGGCCGTTGGCCTCGCCCGCCCGCCCTCGGCCCGACGCCCCGAGCCCCCGGGGCCGCGGGCTGCTGCGGCGCGGGCTCGGCGGCGCGCACCGCCCGGCTCGCTCTGGCCATGCGGGGCGGCGGCGGCGGCGGCCCCGCCGCGGGGGAGACGCCGCGGGGAGGCGGAGGCGGAGGCTCCGCGCGGCGCCCGGTCGACGGCGGGCGGAGGGCGGGAGCGTGCGGCGCGTCCCCCGGGGAGCCGCATCCCCGGCGGGGAGGCTCCCGCAGCCCCGCTGCCGCCTCCCGCCCGGCCCGGGCCGCTGGAGCCGCCGCTGCCGCGCCCCCGGGGACCGCCGCGCCCGGCCCGGGGGAGGGATGGGGCGGGACGGAGCCTCCCTGCCCTGCCCGGCCTGGCCCGGCCCGGCCCTGCCCTGCCCTGCCCGGCCCTGCCCTGCCCGCCGCTCCCAGCGCCGCACCGGCCGGGCGGGGGGAACGCGGAGAACGCGCTGCTCCCTCGCCACGTGTGGGATGCGCCTTGGCCCCTGCCGGGGTGCTTCGGCTTCCGAGCCTTTCCTCTACGCCCGGTGCCAGCAGGGTGTTTCTGAGGGAGTTGGTGGTGGTCGGTGGAGCGCTAATTACTTAATTTCAGCCATTTCTGGATGCATGAATGGTTGTTTCTGATCTGATTCCACAGAGGTAGACCCAAGAAAATGATACATTTTGGGTTCGGTGCCAAATGCCCATTTAATCTTAGCCAGTGCCTGAAAGGTGATTTTTCTTCCCCCCCTAAGATGTTGGATTCTGTCTTCGCTGTTTTCCTTGGAACAAACACTGTAGCCTTATCTGTTATGCTGCAGTAAGAACTGCAGTCCTTTCCTGGGAGACTTGAAGTAAATAATTACATTCGTATTTTTAAAATAAAATGAGAATTCTCACGGATAAAGTATTGCAGAGAGGATGGGAGTGATGCCAGTCCTGCAAACATATGTGTAGGGGTTGATAACACGTGTAGGAAAGATCTGGGCTTGGAGGAGGAAATGCTCCCCACAATTTACAGTTGCCAGTGTCAGTCTCACTGGGATGGGAGCTTGTGCCCTGGTTTATGGGTTTCTTTAGCCTAGCTTCTATTTTTTTCTTTTTTTTTTCTTTTTTCTTTTTTTTTTTTGTCTACAGGAAAATATTTCCTGCCTCTTCGTAGCTACATGATGTCTTTTAGCAAAGGGCTATTTGCCATCACTAGAACTTCTCCATAGCTTCACACATTTATTTCTTATTTTGGATCTGAGAAATTTTGCTTTGCCATGAGAATTCACATCATTGGCAGTTATCTCTTGGCCACATACATAGCAGAAGAACTTCCTTTCTAACAGACTGTTCATACTTGTCAGGTGAAGAAAATGGCTTGGGTTTACACCTATGCTTCCTAGGAACAGGCCACATATAAAATGCAATTAATTAGTTTACAAAGTACTCTAATCAAAGTATCATGTTTTGATAGCCACTAACATGTCTAAACTTTGGGGTTTTGCTCTTATTGCTTTTGTGCCAAAGCATTTTGTTCAGCAGAGGTGAAAGGAAAGTGTCAAGAAGTATCAAAGATTTCTAATCTCCTGTTGTGCTCAAAGAGACCAGTACCACATGCAACCCTTAAGAAAAAAAGTGTCTCCTATTTCAAAGTGTCCCATTATAAATTTATAATGTGTCCCATTATAAATACTAAAACTGAATAAAAATAATAAAAAAAATGAAACAAATAAATCACAAACCCAATAGCTGTGGAAAACAATAGCAGATCTCAAGGACACAAGAAGCAGAAAAACATTGGGAAAGTATATCAGCCCAAATCAAAAGACCATTGAAATCAGTGGAAAGCCTCCCATAGATGGTCAAGGGCTTAACAGATCAGAAATGGGCCATTTAGTGCCAATGACTATAGTTAGAAATAATTTCCACTGTGGTAATCCAGGGATGATTACATGCAATCCATTGTGTCAGTTGATGTAAAACTGAGCTAATCTACCTGAGTTTGCAGGAATTTTGTTGCTGCAGATGGGTATCATGGTTTAGATTCCTGGTGCTGTTGTGTTTGCAGAGGAAGTAAGACTGGGGATTTTTGTTGTTTGGTTGGTTGTTTTTGTTGCTGTTTTTTTACTTTCCTATCAGGAACATTAAAAAATGAGGGTTCGGTTCTCTGGAGTCTTCAGCAATTTCACCGACTGTGAGAGGCCCCTCATGTTCTTGGTGGGTTAGCAAAGTTTGTGTAAGTCATGCCTCACCATGCCACGCATTTTCCTGTCTTGGGGGATGGCTGGCTCCTAGATGGGGAGTGAAAAGTTGGCCATTTCCTTGCTTTCCAAGCAGTAGAAGCTGGCTGGCTCTGGAGCCTGCCGTGGCCTCTCTGGAGATGTCCTGCCTGGGAAAGGATTATGCTGGTGGGATGCTGATTAGCTGGAGGAATCACATCATGGATATGAAAGCCTACCAGTAACTTTCCATGAAAAAAAAAAGCTCAGCTGAAGCAGCAAGGGACGTGGTTTAGCTGCTTCAGCATGGACAAGATTGTATTTCCAGCATCACCGAATCATGGTTTCTAAGAATTCGAGCTGTTGACAGATTTTCAAAATGTTTTGACAACTCATTTCACTAAGATTTTTTTACATGGAGTCTTGAAAATTTGTCATAGTTTTGCAGAAATACTTCAGGTTTTTTTGGTTATAAAGCTAGGGGGAAAAAGTTGGGGTTTTTTTCATTAAAGTCCCACTGAAAATGTTTGGTCCTTTCCAAAGTCACTGGAAAAAACTCCATTAGCTAGATAAAAAATCCTCCAAAGCTGTGGCTTAAAGGAAGGTGATGGTTTTGGTTGCTCTGATCCAGATATGAGAGTTTGAGGAAACATCCTCAAGCTGCTGCTGCCCCCTGCTTGGGTAACACTCTTAAAGGCTGTTATAGGGTTAAATGAAGGATGCTTTTCTAAATTTTCTTGAATAATTGAATGAAATCTTGAGGGATTTGGTGAAAACATCACTGTCTTTAAAACCGTTTTTCTAGAATTTTTTTAAAAGCTGATGGTCAACTGTAAATCAGGCTTGATGCTAAAATTAGATCCCTGAGCTGTGGGAGTACTGTAGGCATAGCACCAGCCATTTGGTTTGTCAGGAGGTCAGTGTTTGTGAAAGCAATTATTTCAATAACGAAAATGTGGTGTTTGTATTACTAGAGTGTCTGTTTAAAGTGAAGCTCGTGCAAAGAAATGAGATGGGCTCATTAAATGTTTAATTAAACCATTGTCTGCAAATAGGTCGTACTGCTAATCATTGCATCTCTTTATTAAAGAATAAAGTTTAAAATGGTATTTTAAACATGAAAAAGACCAGTTACTGTTATTCCTTTTAAGGGAACGGTTGGGTTTTTGTTGTTTTTGTTTTCCTGTGAGTAAAATCTTCTGAATTCTCAACCATGGTTTGACTGTGTGACTCACAAGCAAATTGGCAAGACCACTTTTTTCTACTTCAGGGATACCAAGACCTCCATATTTGTGCTCTTGGTTCCAGTACAAGCTTCACTCATACACATCCCCACTGACTTTGTAGCAAATATTTGCCAAGAAAAAATATCAAGTACATAATTCAGGCCCTTTTTACCACTACATTGGCATGGAAATGTCTCAAGCAGTTATTTGGAAGCGTCTCAAGCAATGTGAAGGTAAACATGCCATACAGTCCCTGACCTGAAATGCACGGCTTGTTTGCAGTAGCTGGACATATTTTCTACCTTGACAGTAATCAAAGGCAAATAGATTTGTAACTGCTCCTGCAGCTGGACTTAATGTGCAGGTGGTTTTGTGTTGCTCTCCATACAGCCCAGTATGGGCTGTATAAATTAGTTTTTGTCTGTAACATGTACCAAGGAAATTATTTTTCAGTGAGTGGCCTTATGGAGCTTGACAAGCTGCACAGGCAGTGAGATGGTGCTGTTCTTCACTTGTACCTCCTACTGGATTTCAGGGGACAGTCCCTTTATTATTACTTTGTAATGAAAAGAAATGGATGAGGTAATTGGTGGTCTATGCAATCAGTGCCTTGGTAGCATTGTGAGCAAGGGTTTCAGTCACAATGCATAACAGAAAGGAATATGCCCAATTTTTGAGTTAGAAATCTGGATACTTCAGGATAGAGGTCTCTTCGCAGTACCTGACTTCGTGTGATGACAGATTGAGGCAGTGAAAAGTACACTAACTACAAAGTATTTGGGGATGAGTGTGTGTTTCCATGGAACCTCAGATGTTACCAGTGTCTCCTCATCCTCCCCAGGATCCTCTTTTTAGGTTTTGAAGCAGAAAACCAGTCCCGTGACCCAAATCACCTTTTGTGTTCTCATGTCTTCTCTCTGTATCAGGGTGAACTTTTGGGGAGGGGAGAGAGAAAACAGGCAGGCTTACTTGAAGCCATGAGTTGCCTGTTGCAGACAATTTGGTTGAAAACTGAGACATCTTGTGTGTTGATTTTGGAGTCTTGGCATGAAACTGTTTCCAGGTAGCTGGGCTCTGTAAGCCCCCCAGTGCTCTGCCAGTAGCACTCTGGCTTTCATGGGAGCAGAGCTGAAGAAGCTGTTGAGATGAACTTGAGAATCCTCTGGGAACCATTTCTTGTGCTCCCAAACTCAAAATCAAGTCAGGGTGGGATGTAGGAGTCAGCCAGTGCAGGTTTTGGGTTGCTAGGTCAAACTGCTAGGGGATACTGAGCTGTAGGGAAACACTATTGTTAACCAAAAACATAGTTTGACAAGGAGAATATTTCCACAGGTTTGAGAGAAACAGGAAGCAATCGCTGTTTAAATCAGAGATTCCTTCATTCTTCCTGCTAATTTATGAATACGCAATGGCCTTTTGTTTCTGTTTTTCCTGAGGCTCAGTGATCTAACTACCACTTTCTCACTTTCACTGCTCTCACTGAGAGAGAGAATGATCTAATTAGTGCTGCCAATTACATTCAATTTAAATCTGATGAATAGCCGATTTCAGAAGGCCTGATTCTGCCTAGTGCTCCGAGCATCCTGAGCACGTTAATGTGTTCTCACTTGCCTGTGCTGCTGATGGAAGCCACAGGCACCCTGCTCTTCTGAGGGTAGTTCTGTGTTCACATGACTTACTTTCCTCATAATTTTTGGTATGAAATCTCACATTTTGTGGGAAAACCTTCCACTCTGATGGCTTATGCTCTTCCTGCATTAGTTTTGCTAATTTGTTTTCTATTATTGCTTTGCGCTGGGAAATTTCAGTCAGTGGCTTAGCATGCAAGGGATTTTTAATACATTTTAATAATGGAAAGCTACTATTCTACTACTCAGGAAGATGCAGTAATATTTCTGAGGCCCTGCAAAGGATAATTTCTGAATTCAACTCACTGTTGAATTCTTGTAGACTATTAGGCAACAA